ACAGGAGAAACATAACTAGCCCAATGTGCCAAGGGGGGCAGCAGCGTTTGCATGAAGGGCAAAAGCTGATAGACACTGATTTTAGCTTCTATTTAGAATTTGTTCTAATTTTGCAGGGGGGAGGGCGGGGCTTGGTTCGCTATGTTCAAAAGAATAGAAAAATAAAATTTATCTTCTTTTATGTTTAGAACTCTGACAAATGTACAACAATCAATTTATAACTGATAGTACTATATAATACAAATAACTGAATACTATTATAAAAACACACAATTAAAAACATTGTTTGTTAAATATCTCACCGCACCACTTGATACATCAATGTCATTATCATCAGAATAATTATCTAGGTTAATATCGTCATAGCTAGCCTGAAAACCCATTTTATATGTTATCTATAAGCTTTTGACCGGTTCAATGTTCTCAAAGCATATTTATATTACTGATTCAATATTCAGTTTTACACTGGGTCACATCATGTTTCAAATTCAATCTTTTTTATTGATTATTCATGGTTATCCTGAAGTTTTTGTACAGCCATCAGATTTTTTTGAATAAAAATACTTTTTTGCTATTATTGACACACCAGGTAACAATCTTCTTTCTTTTCAATACTATAATATAGACAACTTAAGAAATTACAATGATAGTTTTGATCCTAGAATGAAATTCTGGACAACATCATTTCTTTGGAACATTATGTCATTAGCAATATTAATGGTTATATCAGTATGTTAATATATAGGAATTCTAGTATTAAGGGATTCAGTGTCAAGCATGAACAATGTAACAGTAATATAAGCTACAAATATAACAACCCTACCTCAGAATAGGTCATCTGTTTATTTTTCTTTATTTCTTCATATTTACTCTTTAATGAATTTAACTCATCCTGCAGAGTATCCATAGCAGTTTTTAAATCTCCCTTTTCTCTGAAATTAGTAGTACAATATTTTATGAATATGTGTACATTTCTTTGATGTTTCATCTTCTTACCAAACACATAACAGTGATATTGAATACGAAAATGTTTAATTACAATTACCTTCTTTCGACTTCTAGTATTTTTTCAGTTTCTTCTAATTGAAATGATAATCTAGATTCTGTATCACTGGATTTATTCTGATCAACATTGACTTCAATATTATTACTAGTTTCATTAGGTTCTATTTGTTTACTAGTGTTCTTATTCAAATTATTATTAGGAATTTCATCAACATCTTTTTCACTTGCATCTTGTTCAGATTTCTTTTCTTTTGATGAGGGTAAATTTAATTCTTCTTCTTTAACAGAACTACTTGCTGAACTAATACAATCTTTCTCTAAAGTTTTTAATTCTAAAAGATGTTTTAAACGATCATTTTCAGCAATTAAATCATGTCTATCGCGTTTTTGTAAAGTTAATTCTTTGACAACAGCTTCAAGTTTAGATCGTAGTTGTCTGTTTTCTTCCCGAGCTTTGTTTCTCTCATCTCGAGCTTTATTCCATTTTTCACGCCAATTTCCAGTACAATCTGACCACCAACGCATGGTTTTCTCCATCTGAGCTGCACGTGACTTTGCTTCCTCCAATTCTCTCAACAACATTTCGTCACGTTCATTGAATTCACATTCAGTTAATGAAATGTTTGACATAGGGGTGAGATTTTTATCTCGATTTCCTGGGGGTGATAGGGGTGGCATCGGTAATGATCCTGTATTACCACTTGTAGCTCTAATGTAGGAAACATCACCCCCCTTACCATGACCAGATGGAACTCTTTGACTCATCTCACAACTAACAACATAACTCAAACTTACAACAGGTTTATGAATAACCTAAAAATAAAATACATTCTGGATGAAAATCTAAGCCCCCAATATTCTGGTATGCTAGCAGAGAAAAAAAAACTGTCATGGTTTCTAGACAGCAGAGTTAATTAATGTTGACTATCAAACTATTGAAATTTATTGTCTGAGCAGAGCAAAAGGTTTTTTTAATTTTTTTGAGATTTTTAAAGAGAAATTAAATACCAGCCTCAAAATAGTACAGCAAGTCATAGAATGTCTTAACGTTGATAAATATTTTTAAAGTTGACGTTGAATTGAAACACATTTCCTTCCAAGAAATTTCAACCAAAAAAGTTCAAAATATTAGCTGAAAATTCTGTAAAAACAATTTTTGAAGACATAATGTGTCATCATGTTCATCAACACAAAGACATTCTAAGACTAAGGCCTACTATTTAGAGACTGATATATATTTTGAGATAAATGTTGCAATAACTGCTAGAGTATGGCCCTTTCCAGTTAAGGTAAAGTTTTTATCTGATAATTTTCCCATATTTTTATGCAGTACATTACCAACAATGTTACACAATGTTTTACTATTTAATAAACCTACATGGGTAATATATAAAGCAGTGTTTTCACCAGCTTCAGTCATTCATGACTTAAATACCATTAAAGGGACAGGTAGGTCATTATTTTGACCAATCATACTTTAGTCTTAGAAATTGGAATTTTAGCTGAGGTAATCAGTAATAGTGTTCACAGCTCAACGTCGAAATTTGAGCCTTCAAATCCATGAGTGTCCAGAAAGGGACACTACGTCTTAGGATGAACATAAAATTTTTATTTTGCTCAAATTTGGCAAATAACAGTATATATCCATCAGTGGACTCACCTGGTGTCCTAACTATACATCAAAATCCCTCTATAATCCGATATATCCACAAAATCAAGTAATTAATTATAAAACGCTTAATACATTAAGCGATTTTCAAATCGTGAGTCTAGGAAATCCGGTGTAATTTTCAAGGGGAAGTAACTCTCAAGTCGGGACGTCCTTGAACTCTACTCTTGAATTGACCTTGACATGGTCAGACATATTTTGAAGACGTAATATTAATGCCTCGTAGGAGATTAAGCGACTCCGCGAATAAGCAATTCATATAATTTAGAATGAATACTCCACCACCAACACAATTTTCAACGAATATTAATCATTGGCAAAGTTTGTTTGTATACACCGGAAGATGATTGTTTCCTGTTTCAGCATTGATTATCCAAATCCAGACTCTTTTTTTCTCAAACTGAACGGACTTGTCGCTTGCTCACTTTTTTTTAAAATTTTGATTATAGTTTTATTGTCGCTTTTTCAAACTTGATAAAGCGTGGGATGCATTCTTATTTAACCAATGGTCACTATTAAACACAAATATTAGCCACAAGACGAGTGTATTCTAAGACGTAGTATCACTTTAAGATATTCTGTGATATATAGAAAAGACATAAATAGAAATAGTGAGTAAAATTCTTAGTTTGAAGTAATTTAAAGGAATTTTGTGATTTTCATACATTTCAGGTAGGCCTACTTCTGAAGACTATTTACATATAATCAAGACTCAAATCAACCTCCCAAAATGGCACACCTGTCCCTTAAAACCTATGGATTAACAAACCCAAACTGTTATTTATTTTGCACTGTATCATTCAACTGAAGTAAAAGAATAATGTCTGTCTACGCTAGAATGTTTACATTTTACACTGACTGTCAACGTCCAAACCGGGAGTAAATAAATAGGCTTTGTCTGGGCCTATCAACCTTTTCTGCTCTAATTTTTCAAATTGAAGGCTTCAAAAAATCAGATTCGTGAGTTTCAAAATTGTAATACTACCTCAGTCTATTTTTCAATTCATACAATTATGTTAAATCTATTTTGTTTAGTAAATTATTCTGAAACCATCACATTTCACTCCATTACAGGTCAAATGAGAATGCAAGAGAGAATACGAGATGTTAATTAGCATAATATAGTCTGTTTTTACAAATATCCATGGTGCCATGGATAAATTTTAACAACCCTTATTTGAACAGAACTTTAATTAAGTTTCCCCCCCCCCCCCCCCTTAAAATTTGACCTGGTGTAATAAATAAACGCCTTAATATGATCTACAAATTTATTGTATTGAAGATAATTAACACAGACTATAGTTGATCTTTGCCCTCTGACCTCCGTCCTAAGATTGGTCACTTCGCTAGCGCCATTTTGAAATTTGAACAGTGGCGCCCTCAAACGAGCGGAGGTTCGTGTAGTTAGCATTAATGTATAACGCATTGAATTAAAATTAGATCCTACAGGTCCGTAGCTTTACCAGAATAAAGCAGGGATTTATAGTTAACATATGATGATTTCAAACACTTGTTTATCCGATTTTAATCGAAAGAAAACATTCCAGTTAACCGTTGTTTTTCATTTACTGCGGTTTAAATTATTTTGAATTATTACGCCTATGTTTGCCTTGATTTAACTCTTATTTCTAAAAGTAAACATGGTTCCGAAAACTGCCTTCTAAAATTTTATCAAAACAAATTCAATTCAAATTATATTTCCTTAAATGGCTCTAATTTATTATCCATGATTTTTACACGCCGACATGAAATGTGGAGCGTATTGCCATCACCCATTTCCATCCGTTGGTCCGTCTACAATTGCTCGTAAACACTCTAAAAGACACAACCAGTCCCTTCGCCAGGAATGAATTGAATGAATTGGTACTGGGTTCAAATTTTGTACTCTTTTGTACTTTTCAAAATCTATATCTTTTTGATTTTGTACAAAGACACTATAAATGAATCAATCTCTGCTAAAAAGAAGAAGGTTTTGCTGGGGCTTAATCCTGTTTTGCTGGGCTGGATACAATTCTTGACGGATTTTGACAATATTCTTAATCACCCAAGGGTGAACCCTAATACTTAAAATGAGTTATTGCCATTGTTCTTGAAAACGTTTTCATCTGATTTTAATGAGATTTGGTGTGATCATTTGATTCGAATTTGACGATTTTTTAATGAATAGATTTTGAGTTATTGCCCTTGACTTAGAAAAAACGCGTCAAAATTTGTTTGTGAACACTTATTTAATTCCCTATTCAATTCCAAATCCCATGTTCAACATGCTCTTATGTGAATCTGTGGGGTTTTAGTACGAGTTGTTAAAGACGACGACAAGGGAGCGATTTCGCCTAACACTAGATGGCGTCACAGTCGACGATAACAAAATGTCGGCTATAATAATTTAACGAAGTGACTATCTATACTCCCTGATTTAACAGTACATTACAATTACACGAAAATCTGAACTGACTTTTGTTAACCAGTACAATCCGGAGTAGCCAGCGATGTCAGGAAATAAAAGATTAGAAGAAGTGAAGTCACTTGTTTCAGCTCATCCCGATTTTCCCAAAAAAGGAGTATTATTTAGGTGGAAAATATAATATATAGCTTATAATAGTTTGCATGTAACCTAATTTGATCATTACTCAATTTGATTCACCACACTCGATTGCTTCTTTATATACTACAGTGGTGTAACCTATTTTCGTGGATATAAGGATTCAACACCGAATTTCGTCAAAGTTAATAAAACTAAATTTTTTTTTTATATCTTAGATGTTTCCTCAGATATTCTACAAAATAATTAAAATTGGTTTGTTTCGATTTTCTTTATGAATTCTTCACTTTGACCCATATTTCATGAGCAACCAACTCGGCAACTGCGGCAGAATGCGTCACCTGTACATTCGTGTACAATGTTTGAACTATAAATAAGTCTAGAAAAACACGTTGTATGGATACCGGGTGGTATAATTAACTTCTCTTAGTATTTATCTTTAATATCAATTCATTATACCTAGTGACAATTCCTTCAAAGAACCACGATTTAAAAAAAAAATAGTGACTGACAAAATAAGGTACGTAGCGTGATTTATTGCAAAAAGTCACTGAAACAACATAAGAAAATGATCCAGTTTGTGTTCCATAGAAATTTTCTGCTTACACGGAATCCGCTACTTGATCACGTGACTTCATTCGTTGGACTACATTCTAGCAGACGACACAATTCCGATTACGGCTAGGGATTATAAGGAAATTCGGCCGATAAAAAATGGTGACGTTTGGTAATAACTGAAATCTGCCATTTTGTATTTGTCAAAGTATACATTAATACATTTTACCTTGATTGAAACTACTGAATTCATTCTACTAGCTGATATTGTAGACATAATCCATGTTTATTAAAACAAACTAATGCGGAGGTCGCGCAAGGTCGCTCATGTAAATTATTAATCCTTTCCGGAAATCCACAAATAATAGGTTTCCACGAAATTAGGTTACTCGACTGTATATCTTCTGGTATTCAATTTATTTATTCCTCCCTACAAAAACTAAAAAGGAAGTTTGATGTTTGAAAGTCAAAGAATGCCTTATTTGTATAAACTTCACCCAGTTAGATCGTTAGTAGTAGATCTACTGGGTTTAGTTATCGATTAACTATTTAATCAAACTCATTCGTCTTTGTGGAAACCAGACAAGGCTTTAAATATGCAATGCATATATTATCTGCCCAATCGGCAGGTAAAATGCATTTTCAGGCGTTGATTTTGGTCTTGAATAAATGTAACATCTTCTTTATCTTTCATCAATCGCTATATTTTTAATATCCAGGAAATTGCGTTTAATATTCCGGGGATTTTACACATGTAATCTCGCAAATTTTCATTTAATTTACTACCCGAGTGGTCAACTCTGTAATTATTTATTCCAGAATCCCTTATAGATATAGTCTAGCCCTATGATCGTCGGCTGTATTGGCTACGGTTTTAGTTACGAGTGGCACTCCTTTGCAAGAATTATGTACTTGACAGGTGACATTTGTTCACACCAGTAGCCTAACACTATCAGGAGCAACAATTGTTGGAGAATTTGTATTGTTAAGTAGGTTTCTTCGTGGAAAAGTCACAGGATCATTGTCTTTTTACAAATAGTAAGTCTAGCTTACTGGTTCATGAACTTTTAAATTAAAGAGTTGCGTCCCTTATTTTATTATATTACTTGTTGTTTTTTCAAACAAAAAAACAAAGCAAATGAGTCCGATATATCCCTTTCCCTCGGGATGCGGGGTTTTAAATATCATAGGCTATGGTGTGAAGGCTAAAAATTGGACTGTGACCTGTGAACAGTATTACTGATTAACTTAGCTAAAACAATAGCAAATGTTAATTTCATTTCAGAAATATTTTTCCAGTTTTGAGAGATGTTCATGGTTTTAAGACATTATGTGATCTTATTGTTGAACATATCAAATCAACCAGTCCTGATGTAGAATTAATAGTGGGATTGGATTCAAGAGGATTTCTGTTTGGACCAATCATTGCTCAGCTACTAGGAATTGGTTTTGCTCCAGTAAGAAAAAGTGGAAAATTACCAGGTGAAACATATAAAGTCAGCTATAAACTTGAATATGGAGAAGTAAGTGATGATTATCTTGTTTGAAGATCATTAGATATATTATAATTTCATAACCTGTTCATTTTTCCATAAGTAACAATTTTCATTCTTTTTTCTTAAAATTAAAACCAGAATTAGCTAGGAGGGTTCTGTTAAGTACTGGATAGCAGATTGATAATGGTATAAAGTTAAGTTGATACCTTAATAAGAAGTGAGCCTTCAATGGATGAGTTGTAAAATAATTTGACAATTTTTTGCAGGATAGTTTTGAAATTGAAAAGAGCAGTATCAAACAGGACCAAAAAATATTAATCATAGATGATCTCATAGCAACTGGTGGTAAGTTCACAATAATGCTGTATTTGTTACCTCTCGGAAATATGACTTCCAAGGTAAATAGCATTTGTTACTTCAAATTCGGCTTGGTAGTCGTGGAGAACTCGGAGTAGCTAAAGTTAAGACATCACAACATATGACATCGTATAATGAGTTGCGACATTTTAATGTTGGGCAACACATCTGAATTATATGATAGTCTCATGTGATATAATTGTTATGCAAATAAAGTATATTTCTCTCTAGAGGGCATGCATCTGTACTGATGTTCCAAATTTGTTCCTATTTATGAATCAACGTTCTAGTAGGAAACTTTCTATTTCCCAGAGTAACAAATACAGCATTGCCTGATCCTATAATTAATTTTGTCATGGACCAGCTGGTATACAGGTACCTTAAAATTGAAATGAAGGCATCTAAATATTTGCTTTACCAGCTGATAAAGCTCGCAGCTATTCATAATATGGGTAATATGACTGATGCTCTGTATCCCTTTAGTAGAGTCAAAAAAGCTAATAATGTTTATTTGGTATATTTGTTTATTAATAAATCTAAGAAATTATCATTGGCATTTTTCTGATTTTCTTCATTTACTAAAGTTAAATTTTCACATCATTTTTACAAATGTTAACATTATTTATTGACAGTATTTTTGTTGTTGTTATAGGAAGTATGAAGGCTGCATGTGAATTAGTAGAAAAGGCTGGTGGAAATATTTTACAGTGTTTTGTTGTTATTGAATTAAATTGTCTGAATGGTAGAGATAAAGTGAACAAACCAGTTCATTCCTTATTAACTTACTGACTTGTCTTAACAACGAATACAGTATTTTATGCAAATGAATTTGATAAGCAATAACAAAGAATATATTTTAACCCTCAAAATATTTACTTGTGTTATGTGTATCTAACATAGTAAGTGTTCAAAATCAAGGTATGATTGTGGCTCATAAAGGTTTCTGTTCCAAGATAACTCAAATGAAATTTTAATTGAGTAAAAAGAGCATTTTCTTTGCCCCTTATGCCAAAGTACAAGATTCACAAGGATCCAGTGTATGACATAATACAGAGAATATGCGTTGACCACAGCCCCATACTAACCATTTAGTCAGTTTCCAGATTGGATCAAACATTTGGTATCAAAAACCGGTACTGACTTTGATGAAATAAATATCTGTTGAGGAAGCTTTCAGAGCAAACCATTTTAGTGGACACCTCAAGATGCATTTCATATTTTATTAACGAGGACACTTACACATACAGTATCATACATAACTTATTTTTTAATGATAACCGGTTTCCCTCAGAAATTTAGGCTGAAAATTTTATGGCATTTTTGATTCATAATAATAACTGGAACTAAGTATAGATTGAAAAACAAGTTAGATCATATCCCATGGTCTTCACAAAGCATGTAGAAAAGTCATTGTCCAAATTAAAGAGTCAATATATCACAGTTATCTACCTCCTCCTCCTCGTAAAGCTAGCACTAGATGAAGAACTGAACCACCCATCACTTTATAATCTGCCGCTGTTTTTTCATCATTCCTAAAACATGAAATTCGGATTGTAAATAAATAATCGTTATAATAGTTTTACGATTCTATGTTACCATCAAATTTGATCCAATTCTATTGGAGATTGATTCTTTTGGAGATAATGAACATAATTTGATCTCACGAGGATTTCAATTTGATTTCCTCAACAACAGTAATGTACAAAATAGTCTTTAAATTATTTGCATGACCAGGAGAAAGAGCTATATTTTAACTTTCTATATTGCTTATCAGAATGACAATTTGTGGCTAAGAAAATCACACAGTCCAAGTTCTGATGTCAAATATTGATTCTGAAAAAATGTACAGATAATTGAAAATGAGTTCAATCAGCTAACAAATCAATAATTCTGACTAATAAATTCCATTGGAACTGAACCAATTACGTTTTTATACACCCACATGAAATGTAGAGCTTATATTGCACAATTCTTGACCGATTTTGACAAAACTTGGTGTGAGTGTTTGTAATCACCGAGGATGAACCCTAGGTATTGAAAATCAGAAGAATCGAAAAATATTTAGTCAGAGTTATTGCCCTTGTTCTTGTTCTTGAGTTCAATTTTTAGAAGGCACAAATCTTTTTTGTTAATAATTGTTTATTATCACCCTTGATGAATCCTAACGAAAATCAAAAAATAAAAAATGTTTTATGGGAGTTCTTGAAATTGCTTTCAAATTTTAGCTCTTAAACACTAAAAGGCATGATTCTTGCCGAAATATTACAAAACTTGATTTCATTATTCAGTATCGAAAATGTTCAAAAGAAGTGTAAGACTGAAGGTTGAATATTTCATACTAGCGATTGTTACTGTGCTGCCAAATATTTTTATTCAAAATCAAAGCTGCCAGTCAGCGTATATTACCTTGCTGGCAAGCTATCATTATACGTATTTTAATTTTTCTAATGTAATACTTACATTTGTTTTCCACTAAAAATAAGTCTCTGTTGCTGTGGTGGAATTCCCTCTTTTTCCTCAACCCTTTCTTTTATTCTGTCAACCTACCATATAAATGATACTGATTAAATACAGAAAACATGATAGTGGTTACTGCTTAAGAAACTAATATTTTCAAATTGACCTCAACTATAAGCATATCAAATAAGATATAACAAATATCAGATTAACTATTTGTTTCTATCTTGTTGACCAGATAACTTTACATACGTTGGCCAAGTCTGCAAAAAACCAACAAATATATACGGAAAGGCAAAAGAAACATCATGTTGATAAATCATATATGTATATGTATCTTATTTTCAAATGCTTACATATGTAAGTAGAGGCTTCGAAGAAATCAGTGTTAAAAGAACTTTAAGGTAAAAAAAAGAGAGGAACAATAGATTCAATAGATTGTATTGAGTTTATTGACCACAGAACATGTAACTGCTTTTATTTTAGACGCGACGTTTCTTTTGCCTTTCAGTTTATGTTAATTCGCTAAACTAAGGATGAAAATCAATCTGGTGTGAGGTCTGATAATATACTATTTAGACATTTTTTTAAATTCACAAACTGATCATTGGAAAATCCCTCCTGTCAAACCAGTGTATGTATATAATTAATAACTCTATAAGTCACACTAGGTTGAGATCTCATTTATCTACATTACCTTATTACCTAACTTATTTTGATACAATATGAACAATACGTGTTGCATTATAAAATGGGTGTATACCATGGGATACAAGGTAAAATAAATAAATAAATAATTTAAGCTACATAGGTACCTTATCTGTAGGCTCTATATCAATTTCAATCTGAAAAAAACAATAACTGAATTTGAAAACTGTTCTGACACAAAGCTATGAAAGTCTGGATAAGCATGTCAACCTTTGTGATAATTGGACAATTCAATATTTTCAATAACCTATATTTTGTTCCTACTTTAATCTGGATAATAATCTCAGAAATTAAAATCTTACCTCCTTTCCTGTTAATGTCTGAAATGATAAAAGTGCTTTAAGTTAAATTTTAAATTTTTACTGTCAGAGCTGTGTAATCTATTATTTAAGTACTAAAATGTACTAATATATAAGCACTAATACTACTCTTGTAGCTAATTCAGCTTAGAATTTCACAAACAGATCTACAAATATAACCTTAATACCAGTGGTTGGTGTGTTCATCATTAACCCAAAGATAATATAAGACTCTAAATTCATGTGAAATTGATGACAAAATTCGATTCTGTAAACAATGTAGACAGAGAGGGGTTAAAGTCAACTTGGCACGATTTAGTTGAAATTAAAGAGTAATTTTGGAGGACAATTTGACTTGGGCATTTGGGCCCATATTGGTTTATGTGTAAAGATGATTTTAACCCATAGAATAGAAAGTAGTATCATAGGGTTATAGTCAATGACACCTAACCAAAATGGACCCAAAATTAGTCTAAATGGTCCCTAAAAATTGCAAAAATGGCCTCTGGATTTTAACTTGGGGCAATTTCAGTTGAGAGTCAAGTTGACCATAACCTGTATCATATTCCCCATTCTATGACAATATCAATAATGACGAGTGAAGTAAGACACCCCACTAAAAATTTGGTTTGTTGAAAACAAAAAAGATTTGTTTATAGAAAATGACTTCCAAAGCATCTTAAAATTAATGACAATGGCTTCCTGATTCATTACTTGTGTTTATTCATCATAATAATTGATTATAGGTTAACAGGTTTTTAATTACCTAATCATAAGATTATTAGGAAAAACAACTAAGAATAGGGGGTGGAAACCACTAGGATTAAAGAGGGGTTGAAAACACTGCCATATTACATGGGGGTATTGGGAAATAACTGACGGGAGGAAACTGAAAAGTGGGTAATCTTTTCATTCAACTTGTTCAACATAGCTGATTTGTAATTGAAATTGCACTATGCATGGTATGATTTGTGAAGTGTATTATAATAGTTATTTATTTTTATTTACTTAAAATATAATCTAATACGGCTTTGCAACAAAATCAATTCTTTTGATTAAATTAGAAATTAGGTAGTTGAAAGACAAAAAGTTACTCTTCAACAGAAGTCACTTTCACATATCAAAGCAAAATGGAAATTTGTAGTACTTCTTACATAGACCTGTTACAAATAAAAGTAAGGCAAAACCAGTTCTCATATACACCTTAGTTAATCTTTTTATTAATTAATTTCAATAATTTAGTCATCAATCTTTTCAAACGTCACAATTTTTTATCGGCTGAATTTCCTTATAATCGCTAGCTGTAATCGGAATTCCAAGTGTCATCTGCTAGAATATATTCCAGCAAACAATGTCAAGTGACAAATTAGCGGATACCATGTCAGCAGAAAAATTCTATGGAACATAATGTGGGCCATATTCATATGTAATTTCAATGACTTTCAGCAATAAATCACTCTTACATTTTACTTATCTCATTTTCTCAGTCAATTTTTTTTTAAAATTATTTATCTTTGAAGGAATTGTCATAACATTCAATGAAATATTATTAAAGATAAATATAGAGAAAAGTTAATTATATATTATTTATAGATCACGAAAATAAGTGACGCATTTTGCTGCCGTTGTCGAGTTTGTTACTCATGAAATATGGGCCAAAATGGGGTATTCATAAAGAAAATCGAAACAAACCAATTTAACTATTTTATAGAATATCTGAGGAAACTTTTAAGACATATATTTTTTATTTTTGACAAAATGCGGTGTTGAATCCTTATTTATATATGCACGAAAATACGTTACACCACTGTATATAAGAGTGGAAATTGAAAACGGGGGAAACCACTGTGTATAAGCCAAATTACTACCAAAATGTCTACTGGTGACAGTCTGAGTGTGGTCTACTCTAGCACTTGCATTCTGTGTTGGTGTAGCACTAGGCTAGAATAGAGCTAATTAAGAAGAAACTATTCCATGAACGTGAAAGGACAATACTAGGCTAATTTATATGTACAAATATTCTTTCCATATCTGTTAATCAAAAAATGTTTTCGTATATTAAATTTTTACAAATTATGTATATAATGTTTGTATATCATGTAATAATAAGTTAATGCACTAAGTTACAATAATGCAAATACATTTTCTTTGCTATTTAATTTATGCAAATATGTCCAAATATACATTAATTGATTAATTTAACTCANAATGGATTCATAATTTTTATTTTACATTTACATGTATATATATTGTATATTAATAATGAAATATTATATACTATTATATTATGCTAAAGCATTGTG